ATTAAAAAAAAATGAAACACATTTTTCTAAAATTAAAAAAAAAAAAAAAAAAGAAAAATGTTCATAAAATTTGGAATATATTTTTAAATATATTTGATAGTTATCATTTTATTATATAATTTATCTTTTTTCCTTCTCGAATATCTTATCAAATAAATCATTAGATATAATATTAAAATTAAATTTGAAAAATATTAATTAAAATTATATATATTTATGGATGAAGCATAATTGATGTTATTACAATAATAAAATTTAATCTTATTTAATAGTAGTCTCTTTTTACTATTTAATAGTAATTATTATAATTTATTATAATAATTATTACTATTCATTTTTGTACTTATATTTATTACTTAACAAAATTAATTTGAAATTTAATTTCATTAAAAATATCTAATATTAATAATATCATTAAACAAAATTAATATATATAAAAATCAGATATTTTTTGAAAATTTCAATATATTTTATAATACGATATAATGTTATTTATGTATTATATATTATATATTTATATAATAAATATAATATGACATAATAATCTATGATTTATAAAAATCAAATCTTTAACGATAACATTAGATTCATCTTATTAAAAATTTTATAAGCGTCATTAACCTATTGAATTTGAATAATTAAGAAAACAATTAACAATGTTTTTTTTATGTCTTATGTTTACAAAATAAATTACAATACTTTATTAAACGATGAAAATAAAATTTTTAATATTGAAATAAAATTTTAATTACCTCAACAGGAATTTGTCTAAAGCATGAAATGCCATATATCGTACATTTTGGATTATTCAGACTGGGCAAATGAAAATAAACTGTATCTTCATCATAATTATGGGATCCATCTGGCAGAGCAAGAGTTGGTAAATATTTCCATCCTAATGGACATTCGTTTGGAGCTCCAGGTACCAAAGGAGGAAACGAGTACTCTACCTAATATCAATATAAAAATATTTAACATTTATAATAAATATACATAACATAAATATTACAAATAAAATACATTATATATTTAATTTTGAAATACCGTTAAATAATATAATCATAATTATGATTATATAAATAAATACTAGAATTTATATAAATGCTGTTAAAATTATTTTTTGTATAAATGTTCTGTAGTTAAAATTTTTCAATTTATAAAATTTAAATAATACGATATATCAAATATCTTTTATGAAAAATATATAATGTAAAATGTCTCTTAAAAATTATAATCAACGAATATTTTTAATTAAAATAATAAATAATATTTACTTGACATCCTTTTTTGTGATGAAATCCGACGACAATCACATGAAGTATCGGTCCAATTGATTCTGCCATGTTTTAAGAATGCGTTACATTAAACTAATTATACGTGACACAATTTTTCGTCGTTTAATTTAATT